ATATTGTAAAATTCTGCAAATTTTGTCAATAAATAAATGTGGAGGCTCCAACCTGGCAGTGGGGAGCACAGGCCACTGGTTACATGGAGGTGGGAGATTGCCCTGCAGTCCCGTCCCCCCCATCCCACCCCGGACAGGGACTCGGCAGTGAGGCTGCACCCGTCCCTGACACAGTGCAAGGGCCAGGCCTGCCCCAGAAACACCCTTGGGCCCTGCCCGCCTGTGCCAGGCGCACCAGGTATGGGTGAGCGGGTTCAGCCCAGCAGCAGGATCCAAGTGCAGAGGGACTTAGTGTGGGGGTAAGAGAGTTCTCTGTGGGGCAATATGGGTGTGGCTGGCTCAGTGGGAGATCTGGATGCACAGAAGCTCATTGGGGTTCCAGGTGCAGGGTCAATGGGACTCTGCAGGTAGGGTGACCAGTCAGCAAATGTGAAAAATCGGGACAGGGGTGGGAGGGTAATAAGAGCCTATATAAGAAAAAGACCCAAAAATCGGGACTGTCCCTATAAAATCGGGACATCTGGTCACCCTATCTGCAGGGGATCCAGGTGAAGGCGTTTGGGGCTCAGCAGGGGGGCTCTAGGTGCAGGGGAGGTGGGGTTCATTTGGGTGGGAGTCCAGGTGCAGGTGGTTGGGGCTTAGTGCGGAGGGTGTCTGCGGGGGCTCATCGGGGTGGTACAGCTGCAGGGGAGCGGAGGCTTGTCAGGGTGACGGTTCGATGGGCCTGCTTAACAGGGGAGCCCCAGCTTTTGCCAAGGGGATACCGCATGCTGGGCTCCAGCTTCCCCCCTGCCCCCACTTGCCCAATCTCCTTCTCTTCCCCATCCCATGCCCCTTCCCCACCACTCCATCTCCTCCCCAGGCTTGGGGGGCAGGGGGGAAACCACCCCCCAGCACGAGCTGGCAGAGCGGAACGGGCTGGAGCCAGGTTGCTCCACTTCCTGCCATTCGGTAGTTGCAGGGCAGGCCCGACCCCACACTCACAGGGCAGTGGGAAGTGGAGTGATCCGGCCCCAGCCTGCTCCACTCTGCTCCCCTGGCTCCTGGATTTTGGGGGAGGAGCTGCCCCCCAGCACTCACCAGTGGCGCGGTTGGGAGCCGGCGGAGCGGAGTGGGCTGGGTCACTCCACTTCCCGCCGCCCGGTGAGTGCAGGACAGGCCCGACCCCTGCTGCAGTCCCCCGGGATGCGTGGCTCAGAGGAGGAGGCTTGGAGGGGAAAGGGTGGAGTGGGGGTGGGGCTGGGGCAGAGCAGGGGTGGGAAGGGGTGCAGCAGGGGCGGGGCAGCTTTCTCCTTCTGACTCTGGGCCCGGTGCTATGCCCAATATTGGCCAAAAGTGACAGCTGGCAGGTGTCAGTGGCTCAGTGTCCCTGGCCATGCAGGATGTCAGTGTCGCTGGGTCATTCACTTGAGAGGGAGAATGAGGTCTGCAAAATAGCTCTAACAAGGAAATTTAAAGAGCCTTTTGCAATCTGTAACTATTGTCAAATTCAAATAGCAAGTTTGGCAGAAATGTCCCTAGAAAAAAATGGATAGCCAGATTACCAAATTATTAAATTTTCAAATATTAATTGTACAGCTCTGAAAAGTTGTCGTGTTGTACAATTGGTACATTCCTCAATAATAATAATTAATATACTTAGCACTGTACAGATATTTGTTAATTAATCCTCACAAACCTGTGTTGGTAGGTAAGTATTAATATCCCTATTTTATAAGTAAACTGAGGCAGAGAGGGTAAGTGAATTATTCAAGTCCACAAAAGAAGTCAGATGTAAGATTAGAACTCAGGGTGGTATTGTCCCCCTATAAATTATGAGGAGTAACTCATATCCTATGACAGAAAGGCAGTTCCTGGCTTCTAGTCCTGTGCATCTATGGAGTTATGTAGTTTCCATCATTGTAGCATCTGAGCATCTCACAAACACTAATGAATCTGCACAACACCTCTGTGAAGTTTTATTGTTCCCATTTTGCAGATGGGGGAGTAGCACAAAGAGATAAGACTCAGATCCTTTGGGAGTTAGGTGCCTAAATACTGTTAAGGATCTGGGCCTAAATGACTTGCCCAATGTCATTTGGAAAGTCTGTGATAGAATGAGAAAATGAAGCCCCAATTCTCGTGTTATAGTCCGCAAAACCCTTCTGCTCAGACATGTCCCCACCCCACTGAACTGGACAGATAGTTAAGTATTTCTCGCTCTTTTGTCCCCCTCATTTTCCCATCACAGAAACTACATTTTTTTAAAATGAGAATTTATTTGTATCCCATGGCTGGAGAACAGGCCCCATTCTCCCATGAATATATCATTTTTTATTTTTTTCGTTAACAGCTATACCATGTCTAATGTCTGTCACAGTAAATATAATGTTTTGGGATCCGATTCTTGTAACATAAAATTACTATTTTATATATAGCATTTTTTTTTCAGATAAATTGTAGATTTTTTGTTTCTCATGTCAGATAATCACTCCTTCCACACACACACACAAAAATAGACTAAAATGTTTTTATAAAAATGTATAGATACAATGAGTTTTTCCTTCTGGATTAACTTCTATATCCTTTCTAAAATAATTAATTAATTCTGATCCCAAATTAGTTATTTAGTCCTTAATGACAAATGAGTTAATTAGTCCTTAATGAACCCCTGCAGTGCTTAAAATTAAAGGGTGGCAGGATCAAAGCCATAGATTTTGTAGATGGCAACTGCCTCTCATATAACCTGAGAGACAAGGTGGGTGAGATGATATATTTTATTTTATTAGATCACTCTCTGTTGGTGCGAGAGAAAAGCTTTTGAGCCACACAGAGCAATGCTTCAGGTCTATATAACTTGTCACCTCTCCTTGCAGTCCCTCAGTATTCCCTGCCATTTCTGATGGTAGCTTCCTACCATCATTTAAATAAATCAGCAACCTTTTCTGAGCCCCCTTTCTCCCAGTAGGACAGTGGGGTCTTGCCCCCGGCTCCTATTAAATCAGAGCCAAGCCCAGTTGCAATTTTGCTGGAGTGGTGGGTCCTACTTTCCCCTGCCCTCTGGAGGCTGCAGGAAGCATTTCCGCCAGAGGGTGGCGCAGCAGAGCTTCTCCCCAAACCTGGAGGTAGGTGCAGGAGGAAGCAGCCGCCGTTGTCGCTTTGAAAGTAAAAATAGCACAATGCTTCGGCTGGGGAGAGCTGCGGCTGGGTGCAGGGCGCTCGCCGCGCCGCACCCCCGGGGGGTCGGCGGCCACAGCCAGAGATCCTCGTCTGGGGGGAAGGAGATCATGGTCAATGTGCACGGCGGGGAAAGCAGCGGTGAGTCTAGACCCGCCCCTCCAGTCCCATGGGAGGGAGAAGTAGAAAGTCCGGTGCTGGCCAGGCAGCTTCCTCCCCTAGAATGGAGGTAGCTGCAGGAGGGAATCAGCTCTCATCCCCTCCCTCTCCCCCTGCGCTACTCAAGTCTTGGCCCACAAAAATGACTCCGTTTTCGGAGCTACACGAAGTAACTCTAGAGGTGCTTTCTCTCCTCCCTACCCCGAAATCGCAGCTGGCAAATAAATCCTCCCCTGAAATGTGCAGACTGAAACTGCGGCTATCCTCCAGGGAAGTTGCAACAATCCAGAAACCGAGAAAACCCCAGCCTACGCTACAAAACACACAGTCCAGTTTAACAGCTGCTAATAATCATGTGCCTGATCATGAGCTGACCCTGCCAGGTCTGTATAGGCTGGAGTAAACTGTACAGTAGCCAGATTATAACCAGCATTAGGCCAGCTAGAGACTTGGGCCCCGGCCTTTATTTTAAACCCATTTCGAATGCACTCTGGGCCTATCCACACAGTACATATGGGCCATAGGGGCAGTATGTTGTTCTGTAACAAAGCAGAACCAGGAATATTGTACCAGAACTGTTGTCAAACTGTATGTATTTATTTATTTATAGATAGATAGATAGCAGAGATGGGGCAAAAAACAATTCCCATCTACCCCCGAAAAGCAACCATGTTAAAGGATCTGGCTACAACTGGGTAGCTCCTGACCCTGTGTCAAAGGGACAAAACTTATTCCAACTGTCACCTTGAACAGTGCTTAAATCTTGGACTTGGCAAGACTTCAGTGTAATTCAGGAAGTTGGCTGAAACACTTTCAGATCCATCTACTCTATTGGAATGATTTATGTTCTACATATATGTAGTACTAACGACTTGTAACAGGCTCCCGTGATAGGTTAGTTTTTCTGTAGTGCAGCTGGAACTTTACTGATTTGTGCTTGGGCTGAAACACCATGTTACGGTGATTATTCAGGTTGCAAATTTCATAAAGTTCTCTATAATCTTTTTGTCCTACATGGTGTCCTTTATTTGGTCCACAGTTGGCTGACAGGTACAACTACAAAGACCCAGCACAGATGGGCACCAGGAAAAGAGCTGTGCAGGAAGCATGCAATGAACTCGGATATAAATAATCTGTTCTCTACATTCACTCGGTTTATTTTTTTTCTGATGTCAGTAATGTACAGTAATAAAGGTCGGATAACCTTAGGGTTAGAGGAGAAGAGTTGCAGGTCAATCTGAGGATAAGGTAAGATTTCCACACAACAAGCTTTCAAGGAGGTTAACTTGTTCTGGGATTTGCAAAACAGGTTCTCTAGCTTCTTCTGCAATGTTTTGGTGTTGTACAGTTTTCATAGTGCTAGCTTCCACCGTAGCCCTATGCCAGCTGTTGCACATGTCTTTATTGCTAGTTGACTTTTCTCTTCCACTTGGTCGATGGTGATATCACACCAGCCAGCCAGTCACAAAGGCAGTGGCTCAAATGTAAAGATCTTCTAGCAGTGTAGAAAATATGAACCTTGTATATTTTGTTGTGCATCTTCATGTACAGCAGCAACAGGATCATAGAGCAAATTTGGAGCTGGACAGGACTAGGGAAATTAGGAGTAAGAGTCCAACCAGGAAAAAAGGAACTGTACACATTCACAACTGTCAGTCGCTGGAAGACAGGAGATCTGGGTTCCATTTTTTGCTCTGCTACAAGTTTGCTGTGTGACCTTGGGCAAGTCAATTCACCTCTCTACCTCGCTTTCCCTAGCTGTAAAATGGGGATGATACTTCACAACATCCTGTGATGATGGGAGACCTATTCATTCTCACTCATGAGACGCGCAGAGAAGGTGATGAGCACAATAGAAATGCCTGTAAATAAATGAGGAAGTTATTAATGCCCACCCTCACAGAATGTGTGGGGTATTGGAAATGGAACCCATGGTCCCCTTTCTGTTCTGCACCAGTGAGAACTTTGTAAATGGCTTCGCTACAGCACATCACTTCTGAGGCTGTTTTTCTTTCAAGAACAGCATGACATGGAGAAGCTGTATGTTAATATTCTACGGACAATGTGTTGCTTTTTTTGCTGGACTTTGAGAACCTTGAGCAAGGCAAGGCCCCTAATTCTTAAAGTAGTGATTACACAACAGGCTTAGTTATGAGAAATGGATTTGCATTTTCCAGATGGCTCTGGACAGTGAACCATTACTGATATTGTCCAGTTTGTGCTGTTGTTCTCCTGTAAGCAGTAGGTATGGGAAGAAGGTTTTCTCCATTAAGGAAAATACCTGAACAGCTAATCCAAGCAGGAAGACAGTATGGGGAAAGCAGAACAGCATGCAAAATGGAACTGCTACATGGATCCAGTCTGTTCTTAGGTTTAAAAAAATGCAAAGAACACCTAGAACTGCCAAGTTGGACAAGAGGTCCACTTTTAAGTTAAAGGATTATTTATCTACATTTTTGCAGTATTATGTAACCTCACATTGATTCTGTAGTGCTGAATTTCACAATGTGGTCTGGCGTGTTCCATTTAAAACTCACTCACTTAAGCAGCCTACTTTATATTTTAAAAAATCTTGATACAAAGTCTCAAGAAAGAAGAGTTACAGTACTTGGGGCTATTGTTCCAAGAAGACTTGCCATGTCAAATATAACTTGTATCTTTAAACAAAATGTAACTGAAATTGTCTCCCTTTACTAAAGGAATTGCTGAAATCCTGATGAACAGAGCCCATGCCAGAAATTCACTGGGAAGAGTACTTGTTAATGAAGTAAGTATATCTGCTTCTCTATCTCTAGACTAAATATTGTTTAGAATTGTGATCACTATCTAAATGTATCCTGTAGAAGTATAATGGGTGCTTAAGTTTTCTCTTCTGCAATTACTATGGCCAATCACTTTGCATTTTGGCATTTTTTTTAATATGTAAGACTTTACACATACTAACTAATTCTCACCACTCTAAAGAGGCTGGAAAATAGGTTAAGTATAGTTACTCCCATTTTACAGATGGGGACACTGCTACATTTTTGTTGGATGCGCCTTCCAGAGCTTCAGTGTCTCCTTTTCCCCGTATCTTGGGGCACTAGTAGCTCCTGGACATTCATGATCTCAGGTTTCCACCGTCTATCAAAGAGGAAAAACTTCGAGCATGTTGTGTTGCCAGCTAGGGAAAATGAACTCACAGATCCAAAATAAAGAAGCAAGAATTTATTGTTGTTAATCTCCTAACAGGAGAACTTTGAACTATCAAAAATATTTCTGGATAGGGAGCAAGATTTGACTGGCTTTTATAACAACACTAAATTATTCCACTTAAAGAGATGCTGCCATGATTGTTACGGCAAAAAATATGTGTGCCTTCAGAATGGTCCCATGTTGCTTACTTTCAGAAATCTCCCTGGTATTTACTTTTGGCAATCTAATCATTGTTGTATCTAGTACATTATTTTATTTTAATCGAATATACAATTTACTGTTAGTGAATGAACCTGTGTAAATTCACTGTTAGACTAACAACCAGTTGTGTATTTGGTTTCCTTAATGTCCGTCCTGCAGTAGGACTGGGTTTCAAAATCAACAAATGGAAGGGGTCTGGAAGGTATCAGAACTTCACCCCAAAGCAGCTCTCCATGTAGGTCCATTGTTTGGGCTTAACAACTTGGGCTGGGTTCAGCTTGATGGTCTAGGCCTACTGCAGTGAGGTACCATGTGTGAGATCCAAGTCTGAGACTAGAGCTATGTCCTTTGTTGCTAGGCCAGCAGGGACTGGGAGTAGTCAAAAGGCAGCTTAGTCCCTGGGGAAAGGAGACTTTGTGTTGGTCATAAGCAACCCCTTTGGTCAAATTGGGGACTGGCCTGTTTCAGAGGAAGCCTTGCGCAACTCTGAAGAGGAAGGACAGTCAGGAATGCAGAAAAACCTCTGTGGATGGGATGGAGAAGAGGGGAATCCTAAGAGTTTCAGGAGAGGCTTGTAGAAACCATGTGTGGAGCAAGGACCATCCTTGAGGCTGGCTTTCTAAGAGATCCCTATGCCCACAGAGAACAAGGAAATTAAACTTTTATCAAAATATAGGGATCTTCAGTCATTTAAACATGCATAGTAATTTAGATGCTTGACACATTCAGTTTTTCTTAACTCCTCTTCTTGATTAAACTCTTAGCTATTCAGAGTTCTAGAAAGTCTCCGTTGTGATGAAAGGATCCGCGTGGTAGTGTTTAAAAGTGAAGTCAAAGGCGTGTTTTGTGCAGGTATGTAACAAATGTTCTGTGACTTGATATTAAAAACAGATCCCTTCAAATTATGTTGTACAGATTAGACTATGCTAAGCAACAGATGTAAAAACAAACTTAAGGAAATCAGTTTGACGTTGTGGGGTAACAAGGAACAAACCATTGCCTTGTCCTGGCTAGGCATATGTAACTCCCTGCTTTAGAAATTGAGACCTCAGCAGGCAGAGCAAGCTACACCTGAAGACTAGCTCTTCTCTCTTTATATTACCATTTCTTCCCAGTTAGACCCATGGGCTGCTCACAGGAGGGCCCCTACCCTGCAATTTTGAGATTTAACCTCCTTAGGCATAGGAATTGGTGCTGCTCTAGGAACTGTCTAACAAAGACAGCAACAGAGCAGAGCACTCCACAACCATTCTTAAAGCCTGAATGCTTGAATTCCAGGGATGCTGCACCTAAGCTCCGGTAGTCTAGAGAGTTGTCATCCCGCTTTTGAGCTTGACTCTCCTGCATAGTCACATCAAGCACTGCTGCTCAACTGCCTGTTACCTTTCTTCTATCACTGAATTCCTTGTTTTCCTCCACACTTTAGGTGCTGACTTAAAGGAGCGTGCACAAATGAATGATACAGAGGTTGGACACTTTGTTCACAGGCTGAGAAGTTTAATGGATGAAATTGGTAAATGATCAGTTATAAAACATCTATTTCTATATATGTCCACACCGTGGAGGGCAGTCAGTGGTGCTATATCAGGGAAACTTTATAAGGATACCTCCCCTAAAAGGGTAAAACTCGTCCATGCAAGAGACGGTTCTTGGGGCCTGGTCCAGATTGCGGAATGAACTTCCGTCTAAGGAACTAAGGACTATCTTCTGCTCCAAGTGCAAGGTGCGCTTCTTGGAGCTACCTTCTCTAAGAGAAATGAGAGCAGCAAATACTCTCTCAAAAAAACCCCACTTCATAGCACACACAGCTCTCCCCCAGTGGGAGAGGATATGAAAGAATGAACCATACATGACAGATGTTAGTCATGTCACTTAATGCATGATACTGGAAGGTGCTCAGATACTACAGGGGTAGGTGTGATACAAGAACCTATATAGAATAGTAAAGGTGCTTGGATCATTGAGTCAATTTCAAGTTGGAATAGCCTCTGAAGATTTTACCTCCTTTTTAGACAAGTGTGGATTTGCACAGTCAATTCTCTTCTTGTATTAATGAATTGTTCTGTTGTCCCTGGAGGGAGATATTTTAGCTAGATGTTTAAAACACAAATGAATCTGACTAGAATATCAATCAAAGTAACAGTAAGAAGAAGATAAATGTATTATCCAAAATACCTGCACCCACGTGGGACTTTCATGTTACAAAGCACCAAGGGATGTTTGAGGGAGTGTTGTTGAGTAGTTAGAACCAGGAACTTCAAGATAACACTTCTGGATTTTGTTCCTAACTTTTCTATTCACTCAGTGTGATTTGTTTCTTTTTTCTTTGCAAGAGATACTTGACCACTAGGTGCCTTGGTTTCCCCAACTTTAAAATGGGAGAGACACTCACCTAGCTCACAAGTGTTGGGAGACTTACGTAATGTTCATAAACATACTAAATGCAGTATGTAATGGTCAGCTGAATTGGACAGCAGTAGGGACTGACCATTTGTAGCCATATAAAATGGAACATGGAGAGTGCCTCAGAGTGTAGAATCTGTTAATTGACTGTTCCATTGTAACACATTAAATGTGAACATCCAGTTATCTCCATTTCAAGGAGGCAGAGCTTTAGTTTGAGAAAATAAACTTTGTTTTACATTTCAGTGCTTTATAATGTGGAATTATTTTTAAAGAGGAGGAGGAGGAAGGAAAAAAGCACAACTTTTTACCATTTGAAGACCATTTCCTTGTTCCTATTGACTTACTGAAATCATTGTAGCATCATACCAAACTTGGAACATTTGAGATGTAATTACATGAAACACTCACTGAAAAACCGCTCCTGTAATTAAACTTTCAAATCTGTTTTGTCTTTAATAGCTGCACTGCCTATGCCCACAATAGCTGCAATAGAAGGCTATGCATTGGGTGGGGGATTGGAATTGGCATTAGCGTGTGATCTTCGAATAGCAGGTATGTGCACTGCCAAATATGGGATATTTAAAGTAATCACTGGTTTTAGTTAAACAACATTTGAAAGTAATCTAAAGGCTGTTTGGTTCCCTTTCTGATAAGCTAAGACAGGAACTTGTGTAATGTAGGAAATGAATAGGCACTTGCCTAAAATTTTGGTGACATTAAACTATTTGAGAAAGCTGTATGTCTTTTGTTTAGAAGGGGAAACAATTTTAGATGAGGTATCAATATGAGTTACACTAAAATTCTTTTGGAAGGGGTTAATCTCCTGTTGGTGGTAGGGGTATATGGTTAATGCCCACTAAGAGCAGGTTTATTGGGTGACTGATCAATTCTGGTTTGGTCCAACCTACTTTTAGCAGTGAGGTCCCTGCACATTGATGAGAATAGACCCTTTAGAAAGTACATCAACAGAGGGACTGGGCCATCCCTATGTACTTGTAACTTGCACAAGATCAGAGAGCTGCTATTTCTTTTCAAAACACCTCCATTATCTCAGATCATGTGACAAGTTGAATTATGACAGTTTTACTTTATCACCCAGTGACCTGGTGTGCACAAGTCTGATCTCAGGCTAATTCCAAGCCTAATTCAGACAGAACCAAAACCTCCTCCCCACTTGCATCCATTTCAGAGGGAGTAACAATCTCTTCTAGAGGCTCCCAGTCCAGTGAGGTACTGCAACTTCTTCATTGCACCCTGCCTTTGGAATAAGTGTCCCCACGTAACTCTCATAGTGCTACCAGATTTCCTTCTTATTGCTTAATATGAAAATGCTTAACATCGCTAGTAAACACAGCATATACATTAATGGGTGAGTTTTTTTAAAAAGTTAGCAAAATGCTTTAATTCCTACCTCCCTTCTGAATCTTCATACCACACCCTTAGCCCCCTTTTTCCTGGGGGAAAAAAATGCCAAATTTCCTGGAAGCAGTCAGCTACAAAGGATATTTAAGTCCAGGCTCCTCATCACCTAACTTGTAGCTGGGGTTGGTTGACTGTAGCACCCATCCTCTCTGGCTACCTGAAGTTAATGTTGTAACCTGGCCCATCTTATTCCTGAAATCTCCCAAAATGGCAGTTTGGTAACTTAATGCTCCTTAAAAGATAAATTTTCTGATTGTACGACAGACACCTCAAAGCTGTTTGTCTTAAACAGCTTATGTCTTAAAAAAAGCAATAAGAACTAGCATTTGAGGCTGGTCTTCAATTGAGAATGGAGAGTCTAGCTGCAGGATGCCCACATTGAATGAATGCTAAAGATCAACTTTGCACAGAGATCACTTTCCAGTGGTGCTAAGGTGTTAGATAGGCAGAGAGACTTTTATTCAGCAAAAGCTGGCATCAAAATTTCTCCTCTTTTTGTGGAACAAACGTGTGTGTGTGTGTGTGTGTGTGTGTGTGTGTGTGTCAGAAAAGTGTTTAGGCCAAGATCCATAGCTCTAGTTTGCTCAGCAAATAGTATGCCCGTCATAAGCAAGTCCACACAAATCGCAGAATGTGACTAATCACTGCAGTCACACTCATTTTAGTTGCATTTTTGATACCTTTCAATACAAAATGAGGCATGTTTAGTGTGAAAGGAATTTAGCCACTTGACACCATTGACTCTAGTGGGATTCATCCACTGGCATTCTCTGAGTGAAAATGATCTTAGTGTAATGTTAACAGCTATCTTCTGTTGTGAGAAAGTAACTTTTAAAAAAAAATTTATTTAAAAATAGCTTCATCAGCTAAAATGGGCCTGATTGAGACCACCAGAGGACTTCTTCCAGGTGCAGGTAACCTATCTTCATTAAATCTTCTAATATTTTCACAGCTACATGTGAATTTTACTGTAGGGTACTTGATGAAAATCCTTTTATATACAAAGGAAGTGTTATCTAGTAGCCAGTGCAAGGAGCAGGGAGTCAGAATGGCAGAGTTTGTCCGAGCTCTGCTACTGACCTCCTGTGATCTTAGGAAGACCATTTCACCCTTTCATTTTTCCCCTTTATACAACATGTGAATACTTGTTCACTCCACCGAGGTGCTGTGATTTAATGTGTGAAATGTTGAGCTCCTCAGCTGACAGGGGCTATAGTGCATGGTACTACTAAAACACCATGTTTTTCACATGTATAAACAAGTAAAATATATTTGAGTGGTTTTTGCTATTTGTTTCTCAGAAAACCATAATGTGGTATATTGTCTTAAGGTGGAACCCAACGCCTGCCCCGCTGTATTGGAATAGGTCTTGCTAAGGAACTCATTTTCACTGGCAGACAGATTAATGGACAAGAAGCACTCTCAATAGGATTAGTAAACCACACAGTGCCACAGAATGATGAAGGGGATGCTGCTTACCAGAGAGCATTAACCTTAGCTAAAGAAATTCTTCCTCAGGTCAGTATTGTTTATTTGGCTCATGTGTTTTGGCTACTTTGTGGAACATGACTAGCTTCTTACCTCTTTCCATGAAATATTAAAATCTTGGGGGACTTATTTTTCTTAAAGCATCTTCAACCCAATCTCTCTCTTAGCAGATTCAATTAAGTGCAAATGATGCAATGTAGACATCTAGTAGCTGACTTGTGGGCACAATCAGACCTCTGTGTCATTGCTTACACCAGCAAAAAGGAGGCAAGCTTTGAAAATTAGATCTTTGAAATTAGTGTGAGAAACAGAACTTATTTTTGTTTCCTCTTCATGAATGGGATCTGAATGACTCCATCAAAATAGCCTTCATCGTCTCCCACTGCATTAGCTGTTGTATTTTACTTCCATTAGGAATGGTAGGAGACACAACTAATGGTTCCTTAGCATTAGAACATAGAACATTCTTATTGTGTGCATCGAACACATAACCATCATACACTGTTTGAAATAACAATCTGGGACTGCTCTCTCTAAAGTGGTAGCACTGTACACATCCAGCCCTAAAAGTGATAACTTTCAATCTGCTGATTTTTGTTTTGCTAATTTGTCTTGCAGTGGTACTTAGCACTACCACTGTTTCAGTGCAAGCTGTGGGTGCTCAGCGCCTCTGACAATCAGGCCATATATTTAGGCACTCAAGTCTGAAAACTTTGGCTTGAATACTTAAAAGTACATTCTATTATGAACTGTAGACAGTCTTTGCTTTTTTGGCTATATACAGTATTAGCTTTACTGCAAACTCCTGAAGACAAGAGACTGCCTTTGGAAAAAGCTGGGTGAATAACTGACTTTTCAGTTTGTTGACAGTTCCAAACAAATAAAAAACCCAAAAAACAAAAATTGTTTTGGGTTAAACTGAAAATTATTTTTCAAAATTTCCAGATTGTCAAAACAAAATTTTGACTAGATTTTAAAATGACCTTTTTTTAAAAAAAAGGTAAAAGTTGAAACAGTGTTTTGAAAATGTTAAAATGAAAGTTTTTATTTTTAATTTTTAATGAGGGGGGGACAGTTCCTTGTAAAAAAAAAAAAAATTTTATTTTAAAAATATAAAAAAAGAGAAAAAAAATAAAAAAAAAAAAAAAAAAAAAAAAAAACCTAAACGTGAATTTAAAAAGTCTTGCTGTTGCCAAATCTTTATTTCTTTTGCTGAAAACAGTATGCAAAACATTTTGCCCTGCTCTATTTGGAAGAAAGAATAATATGGACTGTAATACAGGAAGTCAGACTAGATCACAATGGTCCCTCCTGCCCTTGGAAGCTATGAACTACTGCCTTTTAGTGTACACTGAAGTGACTTCTGTTATCTTTTTGGTTTTAAAGGCTCCCATCGCTGTGAAAATGGGTAAACTGGCAATAAACAGAGGGATAGAGGTAACTTCTCCCCCCCCCCCCCACAAGAATGTTTATGAAATGTCCAGTGAAGCAAAAATTTAAGAGCGACTCATAAAACTGCAGTAAAAATGTTTAGAACAGTCATGAAGAAAGTTCTGTAAATGGATTCTAATCCCTGTTTTCAATAAGGGATCAGTCTCTTTGTAAGTGACTCCTAAGGCATGAACAAAATTAAGGCCTTGGCTACACTTGCGAGTTACAGCGCTGTAAAGCCTCCCCCAGCGCTGTAACTCACTCCCCGTCCACACTGGCAGGGCACTTACAGCGCTGTATCTCCCTGGGTACACCGCTGCAAGTACTCCACCTCCCCGAGAAGCATAAGAGATATAGTGGAGTGGCTACGACTCGACTCACGGGTGTGAGTGTAAACGCTTGCAGCGCGGTACTAATCACCTTGTCAAGTGGCCAATCCTCTCCATTGTTGTGACCAGCTGCAGGAATGCGGGCTTGTACCACAGAGAAAAAGCAAACAGTTTGCTCCTCACTTTGAGTGAGTGAATGAATGAGCAGGGGGTCGGGAGTTTGGAACTTGCAAAATAGAGTGCGGACAAACTCCAAAAAGCACTCTCTCTCTTCCCCCACACTCCCTGTCACACTCCACTCCACCCCACCCCCGTTTTGAAAAGCACGTTGCAGCCACATGAATGCTGGGATAGCTGCCCATAATGCACCACTCCCAACACAGCTGCAAATGTTGCAAGTGTGGCCATGCCACTGCGCTGTCAGTGTGGACAGACTGCAGCGCTTTTCCCTACTCAGCTGTACGAAGACAGGTTTACCTCTCAGCGCTGTACAGCTGCAAGTGTAGCCAAGGCTTAACAGTTTGGTAGACCAGGATTCTGACTCCATGTTAGCTGTAAATACTGTAACAGTAATGCTAGGGTTAGAGTTAGTAATTTAATACTAATGCTGACCTTTAATCATGGAAAATACTCAAAAGGGTACTGCAGTTTAAATGCTGTGTACTTCAGAGATCACTTTCTCTTCAGGTGGATATTGCATCGGGGATGGCTATTGAGGGAATGTGTTATGCACAGGTATGTTATCTTAATTTTTTTTTAAAAATCACACTGTACATTTCCTAAATACTGTAATAGCCTCACAACTTCCATGAGATAAGAAGTTTAATGGTTAAAACTCATACAAACATTTGAAAACTCACTGAAGTCCCTTAGCGCTTGTCTATATTGTAGCTATTGTAGAATAACTATCCTGCAATAACCTTATCTATGGACACTCTTACTCTGAATCAGTTCAACTAATTCAGAAGTGGATTAATCTTAAATCACAAAAAGGCATACTTACTCTGGAATAAGAGTGTCCATGCCATCTTTCCAGAATAACTGTTCTGTTTTAAATTCACACCCTGACTTATTCCACAATAACTTTCTTGTATAGGCAAGCCCTTAAACATGGCTTTAAGTTTTACCTTCCCATTAACAGGGTTCCTATGAATGCTAGTTGGACTCCTGCACCTGCCTCAGACTGAACTTGGTCCATCAAGGCCTTAACTTGATCTTACTGAATAAGAATTGCATGTTTTACTAGATTTAGCCATATGTACCCACGTATACAATTTCTAGCATGGGCCCATACATTGTGATGGTTTGGGGGCTGGTTGAGTTGGACACTAGATTTCTGTTGTACTGTATGTATCAGAAGGTTTTCTGGTTAGGTTGAAAACCATATTTCAGGAGCATGCAAGACTTCTCTTCCAGTGGAATATTTTCTTTGTATCCTCAAAATGAGTTATTTTGGGCTTATGGATATTACTGTACATAATGGAGGACAGTGCCATTCAATTTAATGGCATTGTCTATTGGACTGCATCAAGTACTCATGTGCTATGCCCTGCCCTGAAAGTTATTTAAACTTTTCCTCCTTGTAAGCTGTGGCAGTTGACCACCTTACTTCTGAGATGTTGATTTAATATCCATAAAAGCTTTTACTTCTAAGTATATTGATAGTGATTTTAATTCAGTATTGGCTGCCTAACTTTACAAAATAAACTGCTTTTTTTATTGTAATGCAGAATATTCCTACAAGAGACCGCCAAGAAGGGATGGCTGCCTTCAGAGAGAAACGTCCACCCCAGTTTATTGGGGAATAGCCCTCCAAGGATTTCCTTATTCCAGGGCATGAGTCTTTAGGAAGTAAAATGGAGGTGCACAACCTTAAACTTAATGGAAATTGTTAAATATTAAATTCTACAATCTTAATTCTTTGCCATGGACACTCCATAGGAGACAGTTTTACAAGGATAATTAAGGTATTGTACAGTTTCATTAAACAAAAAACAAGGCTTTTTAGACTGGTAAGGCTATAATGACTAAAGTCATAGGGGAGACTGGGGTTGTATACTAAGCTGTCAGGAGAGACAAAGCCTTTTGCTACAGGTCTAAATCCAGAACAGGTTCACAGTGAATGAAAGGCCAGTACAGTGGTCCAGCTGAAAGAATTTGGCCTCAGTTCATTTTAAGTGGGCACTATACCTGCTTGTAACTACAACAGATAGGCCAAATGGATAAATAAGTTTAATGCCCGAACTAGCCTCTTATTCCTAGTACATGGAGGTGTTCAGGCCTGAAAGGGAAAGCATAGATCTCTGTTGGTCATGGGATCTGGCCTAAACTAATTTCAGAACTCATTACCAATTTTTGGAATGCAAAAGTTACTTTGTTTCCTCTTTGTACTGTATGAAAACCACAAATAAACTCTGTGCCTTAATTCTTTGTGTGGTTTGCTGTGACGTACTTGGTGCTGGCAAGGACCAGTAACTTGCTGTAATATTATAACCAGAAGTTTCCATGTAAATACTTCTTTTTTTTTTTAAACAAAATATTTTCACTAACATTTTTCTATTTTAAAAAATATCAACTTGGCAGGGGCAGTACTTGAAACTACTTTATATTTCTAGTTGGCAATTTCAAACTGAGTAGTGTACACTCATGTCACTAAATTCTAGGAATGAGACAATAGGCAACTAGCTACAAGGCTTTAAAAAAACCAGTTCACAAATTGATAGTTCCCTGGTTCCTAGCTAGGTGTTTGAAATTGCTACAATGGCTTCTAGGAGCAGATCTCTGGAATTTTAAAAACTGTGCCCCCAAATAAGTTTAATTAAAGACTCTTAACAACTGAAAGACTTCAATAATTTCAATTAAACCAGTTAAAGAATGCCCTATACTACTAATGCTGCAATACTTAAATTTCTAACAATTTGAAAATGAAAGTTGACTTACCTGAAATATAAACAGTGAGACAAGTAAATCTGATAAAATTCACTTAACTACCTTAGATAAAGATAAACATGTAAAACATCCAGCATCATCATGTAAGTGTGATGGATTTTTTCTGTACGTTGATGTGAATTTAAAAAAAGGGGGGGGGCATGGGGGGGATGAGTTGATTAAGGGAAGGGAAACCACACTGGAATTTCCCAGTACTCAGACAGTGCAGAACAACCTCTCAGGGGCCCTCACCCACATATTCTTCCCAGAAAGTTGACACTTAAGAAACAATAGAATCCTGAATTCATGGCACCATTTACTTCAACAATTACACTTTAATCAGACACTTGCATGTTGCACAGTCTCCATTTCTTTCAACAGAACTCCAATTTCCATACATGTGTAAGTGCTGTTCTTAGACCTGTTTTTTATATTTTATTATATGAAAACTTAAAAAAGCCTTTGGAAGACTCCCATTATAGTTAAGTTTTAAATTTACAATTTCATAGCAATGAGATTTACACAGAACATTGGTGATATTTTGGACTATGGGGATATAATTCACTGCACAACACAGTCAAATTCTACCCTCCTATGACCTGTATTTCACTCCCACTAAAGTCAGTGGGAAAGTGTGTGCACTGCTAAAGACAGAATTTGGAAACACTAAAGCAACCGTTAGTCTGCCTGTAAGGAGACCAAATATTCTGGGTACTGTATTGGAAACGGGTAATCTCAGGTATTTTCTTACCCACTGAGTTTCATGTTTGGTTTTGTTTTTTTGGGTGAGGGTGTGCAGAAGCTCTCTACTCCTAACTTTTGATTAATTTTTAAAGTTTTTCCTGCCTGTTCCTTTCTACACCACAAATATCATTTCAAACGTTGATGCGGCATGGAAAGACTAGGATAGTGGTCCAGTGTTGGTAAGACTAGAAAAGGGACACAGCTTACAAGTGACTTTGAAGACTCAGTTGGTGATGGCCCTTGGCACACTTTGGTCACAGTGAGAAGTGAGCACAAAGACTTGAGTGTAAAAATACTAACTTGCAAGCATACAGCATTCTGTTCAAGCCCTGCCTGACAAACCAAATGGGAGCAGTTTCCAAACAGTAACTGAAGGGAGTGAAGGGCCAGATTTTTAACTGTATTTAGACAACTGAGGATGCAGATAAGCTTCTCGTGGGATTTTCAGAAGAATCTACACACCTATCTGCATCTAAATACCTTTAAAAATCTATCCCAAAGCCTCATGTCCCGCCTCAAAAGTCAAGTCACAAAATGAGCCATTCCTAGAGGACTCTGGCTGTAACAAGCCCTCCTCAATGTAAGCAGCAGTAATCTTATAGGAATGCCCATCTTAAGCAGTGATCAATAGTACCAAATATTCTCAGTACAGTTTGTGAAGGATTATAACAAAGGAAAATTAGAGTTATATCTACAGCTATCCATTTGATTTGGTTTGTGGCTTCTTTAAATATTTAGGTCTCCCATAGTACATCATGTGTGTCTCTACAGTGTCTAGTATCTCATTGTTGATTCGCAGGACATCTGGATCAGTCTGATTGTTTTCTTTGATGTCATACAAGTGCTGCAAGCCACCTTCTTCAATTAACATGCTACAGTACCTGGCAGCTGAAATGAAAGAGAGAGAAAGTGCATCTTTATTAGGGACTTTGCTAAGAGAGTGTCAAAATGACAACTTATATTAGGAGAAAAATTCAAGTGTTAGCTAATCCAGTTATGCTGCCTCTGACTTCAGCCAATATTTAGACTACATAATTAGTGATGCAGTTAAATTGACATGCACAATATTAGATAGGATTTTAAATAGTACTCAGCATTGGATTGATTGTTCCCATTTATGACTACTTCAATGAGGGCAGAATAATGCTAACGTCCAGTGCTTTTGGAAATACCATCCTTAGAGTAATAAAATTATTAAGTATAGAAGGGAGGATCAACATTTCCCAGATACAGTTAAATGAACTGGACCAGGATTTGGAATCAAACTAGTTTATTAAAAACTGAGTTGTAAACAGGCTACTAAGTTGACATTGACTTTAGTGCACGCATATGCAGATTGGCTGACTATACACTACTGCTCTTTAAAGCTACCCAGTGATCATACATGGGTCCAATTATTTGATGTACATTACATAAATGATTTTGTAGTCCACAATACTCTTTACAAATTTACAAACTACTACAGACGTATAAAGTCCACTTCACTCCACACTGCTAGAGCTGCCCCTGAGGTGGAATATGGCATACAGCCATGCTACACAACAGTTTAGGGCAGGAAGAGGAGTGGAATACAGCATCCACACTGACACTGTAGGAAATAGTAGGTAAAACCCTATTCTGAAGAGGATTACAGGGTTTTTAAAAAAAGATCAGAACTTCGGTTTTAAAAAGTTTCCTCTGAAACACAGAACCTCCAACAGAACAGTGCCACGAACACCATGTTAGGGAATTGGCTCAATAGCAGCTCCAATTATACCCTCTTTTTCAACTCACTGCAACCCCTATAGCATAATGTTGCCACAGATCCCACCTCATATATCCTGAGAGCAAGGATCCTGACATTACCCTGCTTTAAAGGTAGAAACTTGGTGCATCTGCCAAACATTATGATAATTTCCAAACACTTAGGATATCAAAATGAATACAACCCAAGTACTTTTGGTAACTGCTCCCTTACACAGAAATATTCCTCATAAAAATTGCCATTTAGTTTGATGGTATGGAGGACACCTTAGGAAATGCTCAGGAGCAGAACAGTGAAGTCCCAAAAGCAATGGGGTGAGTAGGGATGACACATCCATCAACTCTCACACATATGTACACATTAACATAAAAAAACAAAGCAGGCAGCAATGAGACTTGTTAGTTACAATACATCTGTGAATTCTACAGGATTGTTTTTTCAATTTAAAGAGAATACATTGTTTGCAGAATTGCATTACTTACTCATGAGTGAGTCTGTCACGGAAGTCATGGATTCCGTGACTTTCCGGGACCTCCATGACTTCTGCAGCCTGCAGATGTGCCTGACAGCAGGTCCACCTGGGGGCCAGCCTCACCAGTCCCCCCTCAGCGGCGGTGGTGGTCCTGGGCCGTCCCCTGACAGCAGTGACAGCGACAGTCCCAGGCCACTCCCCACCCCTGAGCTCCAGCAGCGCCCCGGAGCCAGCCCCCCGCCCCCAGCTCCAGCAGGCACCCCCAGAGCCAGCCCCCCGCCCCCAGCTCCAGCGGGCGCCCCCAGAGCCCCCAATATTTAGTCAGGGGTATATAGTAAAAGTCATGGACAGGTCACCAACCCGTGAATTTTTGTTTATTGCCTGTGACCCATCCATGACTTTACTAAAAATACCCATGACTAAAACATAGCCTTACTCATGAGAGTTATATAAAAGACAAATTCATCCTGACCAGCCATTTTATTTACTACCCTATTGTCGCCCAACACAGATCAGTTTAAAAACCAAGGAACTGGATCTCAGCTTGTTACAATGTTTTGAGTCACTGAATGTAATGAGACTACTGTTTAATATCCAAAATAAACCCTATATGAATAAGAGGTCAGCAAAGAATGACTTAAACTTTGATGTACTTATCCAACAGGCTTATGAGTGAACATGAGAACCATCCAATTTCATATTAAAAGATTAAACTGTAAAGTTGAATACATACGAGTTTTGCAGCAGACATGCTGCATGGCCCACACTGCCCAGAGCTGAACCCCAGATATCGTGAAGCAGTCAAGTAATGGATAGAAAGGATTCAAGGATCTATGGGTTAAAAAGAGAAATATATTTGGCAAAGTCATGGTGATACCAGATACCTTTATTTCAGAGTAACTGTGCTGTCTCAGCACATTAAGCTTTAGGTATTCTCCTACACAGTGTTGGATTCTGCATTAAATATTAAACACCCAGGAAACACTCAAGTGTGG